ACCTTGCATTTATCCAAAATTAAACACCATCTTTGCTCCTCAGCTCATTGGCCCATTGACCACAATCCCTTTGTAATCCTACATAACCTTCTTCACTGTCTACTATACCACCAATTTTGGTGTCACCCACAAACTTATTAACCACGCCTCCTGAATTCTCATCCAAATCATTTATGTAAGATATTACTTCAGCTTGTTTCCTAAAGAACTAGTCATCAACATCATTCTTCACATGTACATCTGGTGACTGAAAATTTCCAATTAGGTATCAGACTATAATTGGACAATATTTATTAGTATCTTACTCTTTAACAGGTCTTGGGGCAATAAATGCCGATTTAAAAAGCATATATGCTTTCACTTTTATTGACCAGACTACTTATCAACAAAACGAGGAAACTTCCATATATGAAGTTGCCTAGTATCTGATCAAACTTGATTATTACTCATGTAATTGTTGTTCTGGTTAATTAGAGTAGTTTTTGCCAAATAATATCGTCTGCAAGTAACACGGATAGGGATGAACTTTTAGCAAAGTTTGTGAGAAAAGAAAAATGTAAAGCATACATTGTAAAGTGAAAACGCTGCAGAGATTCGAGCACACAAAAAGCTGCTGAACCATAAAACTTTAAGAACAGTAATGTGGTTGCTACTATTACAAGCTCATACTTCAGGCTTTTGTTTTGTAGCACAATAATATAACCTTTCCTGCTCATGTTCTTGAGTGTGACCTTTTTAAGTACAGAACAAACATGAAATAGCACAATCTTTGTGCCATTTGAAATTATCAAAAGTTATGATGCACAAATCTAAAGGAAGTACAAAAATTGATGCAATGTAACCTTTGTTTCAAAATTATAACAGCAAGCTTATGCCTCATATGTTTAAAAGAAACCAGAATAAGACATGTTTATGTTAACTAAAAATATTGAATGAAAACATTATTCCACTTCTTTTGTGAAAATAATTAAACTGCAGGAAGTTACACTGTAGTTCATTCTATACTTTCAGCTCACATCAAGGAAATCAGTTTAATATGCTGGTTGCTATCCTATGATCTCTGATGTTATATGTTTTAGGTTTGTATTATAGTACATGGCATTGCATTAACCATTAGCTTTCATTAACCTGTCAAAATAATTCAAGACAACCCAATGTTTAAAGATTCAGTAATTGTTATTTCTTGTCAATATACTGTATGGAATAATTCAGAGTATATGAGACAATTTCAGATCTACCAAAAGCCAAACTGTCTTTCCTAATTAAAATAATAGCAATGATATCCTACACAAATAGTGCTCAATAAAGCGTCAGAATAAGACCACCCAATGGACCATCCCACATGCATTATGATAGGATAGATTATTATTGATACTGATATCCGGGTGTAAAACCTACATCATCCCAAGTTTGATCTTTACAGCTATTATTTTGTAGTTTTTTTTAAAAGAAGAAAACAGAGCTAAAGAACAGAATTCTTACTGAACAACACTTACAGGAGTACAAGTTCAAATGAATTCAGAGGTATTTAATTCTGTTAAAAGAACTACAAAATTATACATAACTGGAAGCATTTCCTCTTGAATTGCATCACCAATAGTTTAAAATAATAAATAGGTAATGCCACCTACAGATATTTAAATTTCACCTAGTTGCAACCTATAGACTTTTTGATTTATTATTGTCGCATGTACCTAAGTACAGTGAAAAGTTTGCTTTGCATGCAGTAGAAGTAGATTACACAATACAAAGATCATAGGGTGATAGAACAGAGCAAGGAATACAAAGTTGTAGCTGCAAAGAAAGTGCACAAAAAGCAAGAACAACATTAGACTTGCGATTGGAGACGTCCATTCAGAAGTCTAATAACAGCGGGGAAGAAGTTGTTCTTGAACCTATTGGTATATGTGTTTAAGCTTTTGTATCTTCCGCTTGATGGAAGAGGTTGGAAGAGATTATAACTGTGGTGAGAGGGGTCTTTAATGATGTTGGCTGCCTTTCCAACGCAGCGAGAAGCGTAGATTGAGTCAATGGATGGAGGGTTAGCTTGCACGATGGACTGGGCTGTGTTCATTAATTCTCTGCATTTTCTTACGGTCCTGGGCAGAGCAGTTGCCGTGCCAAGCCGTAATATATCCAGAGAGAATGGTTTCTATGGTGCATCTGTAAAAGTTGGAGAGAGTCCTTATGGACATGCCAAATTTCCTTAATGTCCTGAGGAAGTGGAGGCATTGTTGTGTCTTCTTGATGGTCACATCAACGGGGATGGCCCAAGAGAAATTGATGGTGATCATCACTCCTAGGAAGTTGACACTCTTGACCATCTCCATAGGGGCATGCCCTCCCCCTTGCTTCTTGAAGTCAATGATCAGCTCTTTGGTTTTGCTGACTTTAAAGAAGAAACTGTTATCTTTACACCACGCCACCAAGCACATTATCTCTTTCCTGTATTCTGTCTAGTCATTGTTTGATATCCAGCCTATAATGGTGTTGTTGGCAAATGTGTAGATGTAGATTAGATGAAATTTGGCCACACAGCCATGAGTGTACAGGGAGTAACAGCAAGGGGCTGATTACGCAGCCTTGCAGGATGCCAATGTTGAAGATTGTTGTGGAGATGCTGCTGTTGCCTATCCTGCACTGATTGGGCCAGGAAGTTAAGGATCCAGTGCAGAGGACAGAGCAGAGACTTAGGTCTCAGAGTCTGAGATTAGTTTGGTTGGGATTATAGTGTTAAAAGGCAGAGCTGTCATCAATATGTAGAAGCCAAATGTAGGTATCCTTACTGTCCAGATTTTCCAGGGATGAGTATAGGGCTAGGGAGATGGCATCTGCTGTGGACCTGTTGCACCGGTAAGCAAATTGCAAGGGATCAAGGCAAGCTGAGAGGTTAAAGTTGATATCAGCCATGACTAACCTCTTGAAGCATTTTTATTATGGAGGTCAGAGCCACCGAGCAGTAGTCATTGAGGTACATTGATGCGTTTTCTTTGGTATTGGGATGATGGTGGTCTTCTTGAAGCAGGTGGGGACTTCAGAGATTGTAGCAGGGAGAGGTTAAAAATATCAGCAAATACTCTCACCAGTTGGCCCACACAGGATCTGTGTGCACAGCTGGGACTCCATCTGGGCTGGTCACTTGCCGTGGGTTCACTCTCAAGAAAACTGATCTGGAGTTTGCAGCGGTGACTGAGCTAATAGGTGCATCTGAGGCTATTGGGGTAGGTGACACCATTTCGCTGATCTTCTGTTTGAACCGAGTGTAAAATGCATTGAGCACATCAGGGAGGGATATATTCTTGTCAGTTATTCTGTTCTGCTTTGTAACTAGTTATGTTGTGTAGGCCTTGCTACAGGCAGCAGGAGTCCATGTGGTTAGCTTGGTCTCAAACTTAATTCTGTCAATACTGGACTATCAGATCATAATAATTGCAATAGTTTCCAATGGTACCTTATTAAATCCTTGTAATTCAGTCTTCAGCAACTGAGAGATCTAGACACCATTTGTGTATACTATCAGACACGAACAATTCATTTCACTGGTTACATATCAATTACTCACTTTGGGTTCAATAATTTTAAATTTTGTCAGGATTACTGAACATAAAATGTATGTGGAGCTCAGTAGTTAATTTCAGTTCAAAATATGCAAAGCATACTGTAAACAACATTATGTCAGGACATTATCAATTTGGAGAGGTTCAGAAAAGATTTACCAGGTATGAAGGGTTTGAGTTATAAGAAATGTTTGGAGGGATATAGGCCAAACAGAGGCAGCTGGGACTGGTTTAGTTTGGAATTATGGTCGGCATGGACTGGTTGGACCAAAGGGTCTGTTTCTGTGCTGTATGACTCTATGACTATGATTTAAACTTACACATATTTTCAAATGCCTGTTGAATGCAGCTTGAATATTTTCAGTGTAGTGAATAGTGCAAGAAATTCATTTAAAAAGATTGTTACAAACTGTACAAAGAATGGCTATTCCATATTTAGGCTCTGTATGCATCACTGATGAACACATTTAATATTTATTTCTACAGTCATTGCAAATGCAAAAGAAATTCAGAAAATATTTACAGTAGTTGGAGATCACATACATTTACTTAAATAATTATATGCAAAATGACTACCGACAAATTTGTTATAGCTTCCATGTTTTGTTTCCTTATCACTTTTGTCAAATGATTATATTTAATTTTAATAAATCTTGGAAGTACTTTTCCACCACATTCATAAGTTTCTTTTTGCAATTATATAAATATTTCAGATCTTATAGGTTTTAAAAAAGTCCAAGACAGCGACAGAATCCAAAATAACTATGTGGTTTATTCACCGACATTACTAATATACAAGCGCCAAACCAATAAAAAAAATTTGTCATTAAAGAAGGTTGACAATCTTCCTAAAGCTTTGCTCTGTTTTTTTTTGGGGTGGGGGGGGCGAGGAAATCACAAAGCATAAATCGTTCTGACAAGAACTTACATGTTTTGTTTTGGGTCCCTTCCTTCTAGTTTGCTATCATCTGACTCTGGAATGTATTACATTACACCTGCTGCCAAAAAGAATGATTGGCAATGATCCTTTTTTCCTCTCTCTTCTCCACCCCCCCTTTCATTGGCGTTCACAACAACGTAAATAGAGACTCAGTTTTGTTTTCCAGCTTACTACAACACCCGCAGTTAAAAATTGTGCAACACAAGAGTTATGAGACTCGTCGATCCAGGCAAGTCCTGTTGTTTACAGACTGACTTGCCAGCTGACAGATCAATACAGTAACAGCAGGTTAAACGTCAAAGTGTGTATTTAAAAAGCAAACATATGACAAGGATTCAGTAGACTCCCTATAATGACTTAATAAATATAATTTTTAAACCCAAAATATTTCTTCTGCAAAGTAAATTCATTTGATTTTAGGGCAAAGGTTGCTCAACATCATAGTAAAGCGTACAGAGTTTTAAATAGCAAACCACACACAATATATTTTCTAAAACTCTTACCACTTGTCAGTTCGTGTTTTACAGTACAGCTCCCCTCCCTGGCGAGGTCTCCCATGCTGTACATAAACTCGTCTAAATTGAACGTTAAAACACGAGTTGTCAAAGACACAAAAGAAATAAAAAGAAAACTGCACTAAACAACCGGCAACCGCCGTCTGCCCATTCTCTCTTTTCCCGAGAGTAGCTGTCGCCGGACACAGTTTGTCTGCTGCATCCTGGGACTTGTAGTTTTCCTTCGGCGGTCCCTCCGTTTTGTTCCCTGGGGAACTGCTAGCCTTCAAACTATGTCTCCCAGCAAGCTTTGCGCAAAGAACGCATGCTCAGATGCGGCGGCTCGATAGCCCCACCCCCATCTTCCCGGATTGAGTTTATTCTCTCGTTTTCCTAATAGGGAGAGTCCAACAAATTTCGGGGGGGGGGGGGGGGGGGGGGGAGGTGGAAATTATAAAACTCTATTTGTAAGCTAATTGATTCATTTACAAATTGAAAATGAGGTGCATGACTAATATATCTCTATGCTTTCATCAAAGTTCTGACATCCAGTTCTAACTCTCCGAACACCATTACCAAGTCGGATTGTCAACATCTGGAGCGAGAAAACTGTCACCGCGCGAGCGATTCCCGTAAAGAGAACTCGAGCGTGAGCGCGAGCGGGAATTGCAACAAGGTCCCTTTGCGACAGTGATCAAAGGAAAGGATCAACGGACAGTTTCAGGAACTCAGTACGGGTTTAACCAACACAAATACCTCCACATTTCTGCTCGAAGGTAGAACTCTAGCAGTATTTCCACTGTTTGTTGTTTTATTGTTTTTGATTCACCACATGACCCACGAGTTTGTTAATGACTGATCCGCCTGATTTGGCAATAATTCAGAAAAATCGTGCGTTTTAAATCTTTGCATCATCCTGTGCTTATTGTAAATCTGTTATTTAAGGCAAATTAATTATTTAAAGGGAAATTCCGGAATGAAAAGTCTTTGTTGCATCACGATAATTGTCTCCATGTCCCTTCGAGAAAACGACAAATAAGAGTGGAACTACCAGGTTAGCAGAGCTACCGAAAGAGATTAAGAACAAAGTCGACAACAGTACTGAAGACATCGGAGTTGGGCAAGAAAGAGGGAGACAGTAAAGCATAAAGTTAATACAGATCAATTCACAACATTATTTATCTAAATGCGAGTCATTACCAGCATTTCAAAAGTAATTCATTGTCTAGGGTACTTCTTTTAACCGGGTAATGCATTCATGCAAATACTCGTTCAGAAAAAAAGTCGGAATCACGGAATCTTTTATAATTCTTTGGTGAAACTATCCAATTAACCCTACTCCCCTGCTGTTTTCCCATTGTAGTGGCGATCTGTCCAATGGCATGTCTTTTGTTCATTTCTCCATTTGTCCAAGTCCTGTACTTTCCTTTTCAGTTTCTTGTAACAGCCTTCGAAACTTCAGTGAGCAGTATGACTAGGGAAAATCGTGTCTTTGATTTCCCATCACCTTCGTGTGTGTGCTTAAAGGAAACACATCTTCTTAAGAAACCTAGAAAATAGGAGCAGGAGTAGGCCATTTAGCCCTTCGAGTCTGCTGTACCATTCACTATGATTATGGCTGATCATCCCACTCAATAGCCTGTTTCTCCTTTATCCCCCTTTCCTTTGATTCCTTTAGGTCCAAGTGCTATATCCAAGACCTTCTCGGAATCATACAATGTTTTGGTCACAACTTCTTTATGTGGTAGCAAATTCCACAGGAACACCACTTTCTGAGTGAAGAGATTTCTCCTCATCTCAGTCCTAAACAGTGTACCCAGTATCCTTAGACTGTGACCCCTGGTTCTGGATTCCCCAGCCATTGGAAACATCCTTCCTGCATCTACCCTGTCTAGTCCTAATAGAATTTTATAGGTTTCTATGAGAACTCTCCCTCATTCTTCTAAATTCCAGCAAATACAGTCCTAACTATTTAACATTTCCTCCTATGTCAGTCCTGCCATTCCAGGCATCAGCCTGGTAGACCTTTACTGCCCTCCCTCTATAGCAAAAGCATAAAGCCTTGTTATAAAAGTGCCGAAAGTCTTGTTTATCAAATAAGCAATATTCAGGTTTATTAATCTTCTTTAAAGTCTGCTGTTGTTAGTTCCTGCAGAAGCTTGCATCACAGCAACCACATTAAAATAAAAACGTGCTTACCATCTATTGCTGTGATTGCTTTGTGGAAGAGTATCAGACTCATGGGCTGGTCAATAAAATAATGGAGGGCTGCAAAGGGATTTTATACAAAAGGCTTCAAGACTGTAATAGTCAAGGGTTTAGAGAGCAACAAATTGCAAGAGGTTTGAGAGGATTGTGTTCACCTTAGCTTTAGGATTGTTCAAAATCTTCAACCATGCAGGCAAAATAAGATACTACTTCCAGAATAACTGTTTATTGAGATTCAGATATAAGATTCATTATACAGTTCTAGTCTCAACAATATACCTAGCAATTTCAATTACTGGGCATTATATGTGAAAGGAACATTTATGGTTGTGGCCCAGTTTTTTTGTTTATATTCTGCTAAAATTATGCCACTTTCTAAAAAAAAGTACATTTCCTTTCATAAATTACAAAGCACAGTCCACCTGTTCTCAAATTAATTAAAATGCAAATAAATGTAATTTTTAAAGCATCAGGTACTTGCTGTGTTATTTGTCTTGTTTAATAACTCAATTATTGAATGATTTAAAAAGGCATTATAATTGAATGAATTTATCAAGCATTATACAACTGGTAAAGGACTAAGTATGAACATCTGAACAAAGAACAAGGGTAGGCCATTTGGCCCTTCCATGCCTGCTCCACCATTCAATAAGATTGTGGCTGATCTGATTTTATCCTCAACTGTACATTCCTGCAAGGTTGAGAAGGTGGGGCCTTCATGGTAACCTCAGCTGGTATGGATCTTTTCAAAAGATCCTCTGCTTGTAAGCAATTGTCACTCAAAGTTCTAGCTATTGCACCATCAACACTAAAGATCTGAGATAACAAGGTGTAGAGCTGGATGAACACAGCAGGCCAAGCAGCATCAGAGGAGCAGGAAAGCTGACGTTTCGGGTCTAGACCCTTCTTCAGAAATTCTGAGGAAGGGTTTAGACCCAAAACATCAGCTTTCCTGCTGTGTTCATCCAGCTCTACACCTTCTTATCTCAGATTCTCCAGCATCTGCAGTTCCTACTATCTCTGAAACACTAAAGATTTGCTGTCTTAGCCATTGGCCATGGCTCATAACTCGTAACTGGGGCAATTGTGTACAGCTAGGGCCATGCACCCCCAATGTTTCAAATGACCGTGCTTTCACGCCCTTCTTTTTCCACATTTTCTCTTCATTTATCCACACCCTTTTGAAAGTTACAGCTCATTGAGTTCCCTCCACCCTTTCAGGCACATAATTCCAAATCATAACATAAAGAAAAATCCCCATGTCATCTCAGTTCCTTTTCAAGTTTACATTTAATGTGAGTCCTCTCATTGCTGACTTTTATGCCATTTGAAATAGCTCCTTATTTACTCTATATCATGATTTTGTACATTTCTATCAAATCTGCTTTATTCTTCTCTGCTCCGAGGAGAACAACTACAGCTTTTCCAGCTTCTCCTCAGAACTGAAGTCCTGCATCTATACTGTCATTCTATTAATTCATGTCTTCACTCAATCCAAGGTCTTGACAATCTGCATAATTGGCATGTACTCTAGCTGAGGTCTAACTAGTCTTTCTATTAAAGTTTAAGATAAATTATTTCTGTTTGTACTTAGATATAAAACCAAGGATGACATATACCTTTTTAACAGCCTTCTCGATTTGTGCACATGCACCTCCAGATACAGGAGTAGCACAACCACTAACCGAACTAGACAGTTACTTAGGGTGGCAAGATTTGATGAGCCGCAACCGCAGCCAGCTAGCAACATCGCCCTGGCAAAAACTTACATGTCTGAATTCTGAAAATTTAAAATTGCACGACTTTATGTTGAGCAACTTCTATGAGTCCTCAGGGGAGGGCACTGTGCAGTTGCAGTTTATTCCCTTATGCCCTTCCCAGGTTAACTCTGCCACAAAACTCTGAACCTAACTCATGCTCATTAATAACTAAAACCTTACTGTTTCCCTCCACGTTCATGTGTTCATTAGCTATCCAATTGTTTTCCCTTTCCTTACATCCTTTCAGCATCTGCTCGCTGATTCTCCAATTACTTCCCTGTTTCCTGCTATCCTGTGTAAATCCTATGATCCATCTTTTTTCTGCCATGCATTGTTGTGTAATTGATTTTGATTTGGTGACTCAGCTGCATGTGGCTGCCCTAGCTCACTTTCAGCCACCTTCTTCACTCAGTAATTATCAGCAGTGTTCCTTCTTTTTCTGCAAATTCCAGGACCTGTTCTTTGCAGCTACTTATGCTTGTGCTTCTAAAAAGCCAATGCGCCATTGGTTTCAGTGATTCAGGCCCTCAGCTGCTTGCATCCTCCTTGCCCTTTAGCCCAATCAGCCTGAGTGAATGCAATGGGGGATCTTGCCTGAACTTTCAAGCAAATCAGAGTTAAGTAACAGCCTTTAGAGATCTATAAATGAATAAAAGGTAGGCCAAGCAGAGAAGTAGCAATGCAGAGGGGTTTCCTAACAGATGGGGTTGAGTAATGGTGATGAAAGTCAGACCAAGTCCGGGAAGTACTTAAGGTCAGCTGATATTATGGTAGATAGAGTTAGAAAAACTTGTTTGTGGCACAATACCATAACCGGAAAGCTGAAAAGGAAAATGAACAAGTGAAGCATGAAGGTTCCTTTCTGAAGTATTTTTGTCCAAAATGTCAATAAGGTGAAGGTAGCTATATCTCAAAGAGTCAGGCTCCGACTGAAGCTGAGAAGAAAATTTTGGTTAATGTCACAAGCTCAACAGTTTGAGGAACATTTGAATGTGAAAGAAGATTAATCAAATGAATAAGTGAATCAGGATCAAATTTTGACAGAATATGGGCCTGCCATCAGTATAACTAGTTTGAGCAATGGTGATCCTACTACTTGGTCCAAATATTATGATTGTCTGCATCAAATCTTGATGGAACATGGCCTGCAGGCCAGAACAAGTTTAGCAGTTCAATTCCCCTATAAGTCATAATCAATGATAATTCTCAACAAATCATTACAAAAGGATATTTAACAACGGACAAAAAATGTAACCTCAGTGGCTACAGTATTCTGTGTCAAAGTACGTTGTG